ATGAAGAAAACTGTACGCTTGCGTTTTCTTCGTAAATTTTCTCTTTCCACTATAGGTAATGAACATTTGATAAACAGCGAGGTATTGGATGGAAGCGATTACGGATGAAATACAAGTTTTATTGCTAGTTTTTGAAAGATTTTCAATGAATTTCTTGGTTCCTTAGCATTCACAAAGAGCGCAATGAAGTGGTTAGAAAATGAGGTTTCAGAACTGTTAACATTGTTTAGTGAACTCTATCTGAAGCGTTTGTCAAGGGTTAGCAGTACGCATAAAATGTACTGGTCCACTGTATGAAGTGACTTAAGTTTTTAGAAAATTATTTTTAAAAGGCTCACTAGTACATATGTGAAAAAAAGATCTTGCGTTCCAAACGTGATTTTGCATTGCTTTTTTATCAGATTCTACAGAAATGAGGCGCACGACAATTGCGAATTTAAAAATAAATTTTGAAATTATTTTTTTTTAAGAGCCGCGCATTACAAGAGCAGTCCAATGTAGGCAATGCTACAACAATAAATAGCTTTAAGGCAGTGAGTAACAAGCAGCCTTCAGGCGAAATGAACCAGATAAAATTCAGTTAACAAAAAGTAATCGCAACCACTACACCAAAGGCATTCAACAAAGCAGTTTTGTGAAACACTATACTTAAAACGAAACCATACTACCAAACTGTTATAAAGTTGGCAATATGCAGACAAGCGTAAAAGCATCCAAAAGCGAGGGTAGATCGACAGTGAAAAATACATATTTGGGAATGAGCACGCCTCAAATGTAATACCGCCAGTTCTAATCCCCACCTTTCGACCACTAATTAGAAGTTTTCGAAAACTAAGGGAAAAGAGACAGAAATCTCAGCAGTTTACTCAAAGTTCTTCACTTTTTCTCCAAAAACCATCTCAGCTTTTAAAAACCATTACAGCCCTTAAATTTCTAATGCTGCATTCCACCAAAAACATACAGCTACCAAATTTTGTCATTCTTCTTTCAAAAAGATCTCAACGGTATATTATCGTTGAAGCTACTGTACTGGAAGGCTATAATCCTCTAAAACAAATTTTTAAAATGGTACAAAAAATTCCCTCTTTCTTCCCCTTTTTTTTTTTTTTTTGTCCATTCTGCGCTTCTGTTTCCAAATTCTTCATCATTAATGTTACAAAGTTCTCGACCCACCAATTTCACAAACCCAAAGATTGAAAGTCTCATAAAAACTATTCTCTGAAAAGCAATACAGACCTTGACTCTATCCTATCACTTATCGTTCCATAGTTTTCAAATAATCCAGCACTGAAAGTTGTCAATGCGGCCAACGGCAAATAAAGATTACTAGAACAACAGCTACAATCACCGCCAACTGCATAATGATCGGTAACAGCAGTAGCGAAATCCATTTAGAAAATAACACACTTTTCACTTTTGACCTTCTGAAGCTTTCGTTTCCTCTAAGAAAAGTAATATTAGCAATGTCATATAGCTCAGTTCCGCCAACTAACTGTATTTGTCTCTATAAGATTAAGAGTTCCTCAGTCTCAACAATTACTTCGACCTCAACAGCAAAACACTCGAAAAAAATTTTCGAACCTTTGATTCAGGACAGTAGCAGTATTCTTAAGTCCTAATTATGAATGAATTTAGGTATTCTCATAGCACTGTTAACATAAAATGAAGTTAAAGAAAATGAAAGCATCAGTGCAGAATAATGGGACTTCAAGAGGAATTTCTGGCTGACTTCCCTGTTAAAACATTCACTATTAAAGTTACACTGTCTTCACGTGGATAGCATCCTTCTCTCTATCCTTAAAGTTGCTAACATCTAAATTATTAATGCTTTCCTGTTTAAAAATACGGCATACATAACAAATCTTATGAGCATATTTCAAACAGCCTTGGTCTTTCTACACAAGGAGAAAAATTTGAAATTATAGAGAAAAAACAAGCGATAGACGGAGCAAAAATATGGTGAAATGAGTGAACTGGGAAAAAAATTCATAAAGGCAATAAAAAAGGCAAAAAACCACTATTTCGAGTGCTCCCTCCAACATCCATTGGGTCTACTGTTGACCTTTAATGTTTCATATAATTACTGATGCCTTCAACTTTCCAGGTAGGATATAGGATGCGCCATGAAGAAGAGGAAGTAAACGGCGAAGAAGCTCATGAGTACCGCCAATGGATATGACG